AGGCTATGGACATAATAAAAGCATACAAATCGATAAAACATTGCTCAGACTGACTCAAAAGCGAGGGAAAAGAGGTGGGTCTTTAGGCGAGACTTCAAAGTTTGGAGGGTGGGCGACAATTTGACATGGGGGGGCAGGTCGATCCAGAGCCTGGGGGCTACCGCTGAGAAGGCTCGATATACAAACTGTTCAACCTACAGAGATGACAAAAAGTGTTCTTCCAAATACAAAAAGCCTCTGTATACGCTGTCTCGCAAACACCTTGGTTGGTTTTAGGGACTACCAGCAGCAGCTGAAGCAAAATGAAGTCACAAGAATGATAGAGACATAACAATACAGTATTTATTTGGGAATGGCTAATATACTTGTTGATGGCCAAACATTTCATAGAAGTAACACAACTCTGCTCACATTTCAGGGTTTTCTTTGACTTAGCCTACTTAAGAGGGAAAATATCTTTCAATATAAAATTATTTTTACGATAAGCTTCTTAACAATTACTATCATGTTTACACAACAGTAGACTAAATACAACTCATATGATGTAATTAGGACACTTATAAAATAGAAAAACATATTTTCTATATTGCTCCAATACTTTAAATGTAGATTAGAGGGTTGTGTTGATAAAACACAAGAACAGCCAAAGAGAATGGAAAGAAAACGTGGAAATATACCAAGAATGTGTACACATCCTCAATGGCTAACCTATTGTATTTAAAAGATGTTCTCACCTCAAGTATTCTTAATAGAAGACATTCCCCATTGTTATTTTCCCCAACTTGACAGGAAAGGGGAAAAAACGAGAAATTAATTATTTCCCCCAAATCTTTATTCACGAAGCGGTATACAAGTTGTATTCAAAAGTATACAAACAACTTTGCACAAGCTTGAGAATGCAAAGCCCATTAAGTCCTTTCAGAGTTCAAATAAAAATATCCCCCGATTCTTCATAATTTTGTGTAATGTATCATACGGTTTGATTTCGATAAACCAATGAATGCAAGGGAAGAGTCTGACTATTTTGATTTGTTAATCTACATTGACCCACAATTATATGTATAATGCTTTCCCTTATTTAGAAGACAACATATCTTCACATCAAGGAAAGTCAATCAGACGGTAACGGGATGGTCAGTGTCCCAGCCTGACTTGGACCAGAGATGTCATTTCATGGTTAGATCCATAATTTGAAAGAAACAATACACAGGTGTTAAGGACACCCTGTATGATAAAAGGTTTTGCTTCTATCATTTTTGAAATTTCACTTGAATGGTTAAGGATCTCACCTGTGAAGTCATTTTTAGTTGTATAAAGGCTACTTTTATAATATAACATCTACATGTGTAGTTTGAACACTTATGACCTAGTGTTTGACCAAATATTTAGTAATGCTTACAAAACCAAAAAGAGACAAATGCTGAAGGTTCAATGTTTTGCAGAACTGCCCAAAGTTGTAAATGCTCCATTTCAGAGTTGGTGTATGTAATGAGTGAAGCCAGCGTCCCTCACACAGCAGATGTTACTTATTTTAGGAAAGGACATGATGGAACTTTACCTTAGACTGAAATACGTTTTCAAAAAAACAACCATTTTAAAGCTTGTTCACACAAGGAAAGCTAGTGTGAACACAAAATGTTCCAATTCAAAACCTAAGAAATGGTTGATGCCACCATGTGGACACAAAGCCACACTATGACAACACTTCAAATGCTAAACATTAATTACATTTATAAATGTAGGAATTTAAAGTGTGCACTTTAAGTTTAAGCACAATTTTTCTGTTTAAATTAAATGTCATTTTCTCAATATGGACTGTTCACTCATTCACAAACCAAATGAGACTTCTTGAAGAGCCTGGAATAAAGAGTCTCTTGGGTACTTGAAGGTTAACAAAAGCACAAACTGGAAAGCGTCTCTGTTCAAAACTTTTATTACAACTGTTTAAGTAAGGTAGCGTGGAGGAGGAAAAGGAGGCAGCATTGGTATGGCAAGTGAACATGGGGATGAAAAGGAGGACGGGGTGCCGGAGTGGGCGGGTGATCTGGTTTCACAGTGGTAGTTGGAGTGGTTGTCGGCTGAGTGGCTGGATATTGGGGATAGGGAGGGATCATAGGGTAAAGATGATAGTAAGGCATAGATCAGGCATCCTCAAACTACGGACTCCGGTCCGGATCCGGACCGAACCACCACTGTCTCCGGACTCTGAGCAAATTATACTTTTCATATGTATTATCTCTCTGTATTATATGTGAGACATCGCCACAACGCATTCGCAACGAGTCAAAATTCTCCGCTATGTCCACTGCAAACAGCGCTCTGCATGTCTGACTGTTCCACTGTGTGTGTCAACGCTTTGGTCCAATCACATTCAGCATCCAGTCAGCGTCCCCCCCACCCCCAAACAATCTGCGAATCAGAGGCACAGTAGGGCGGGTCTTCGCGGACTGCGGGTGGGAAACATGTGTGTGTCTCTTTCAACCTGTCTAAGTCAGAGCGAGAATTAAAAAAAAAAAATTCAGAGCGAGAGTTAACAGCTCATCTAGTTCCATCTGTACTGTAGCTAGTAGCCTAGTTTCACCTACCGGGGTGGCAACTGACACCCTACAAATAGGCCTTGCCACCCCAGTTGGCAGCTTTGTTTTGAAAGAAAAGTTGTGGCTCATCGGACATTTATGAGAGAAAAGTCTCTAATGTCCGAGTGCAAATGAATGCAGCACAAGATGCACGTCATGTAACCCCTCCCCCGGTCCTGGCGCGAGCGTGGACATACGATTGGCGGCGATTTCATTTTGAACTGGACGGCGAAAACCAGAAGCATTCGGACCCAAGCGCTGAAGGAATGAGGTATTTGCGGTCTACAATGACAGAGAAGAGACTGTCAGTTTGGCTGTACTCAGCATTGAATCAAAACGCACTGAAGCTGTTGATCTTAATACGTTTGTGAGGCGTTTTGCTGAACAAAATGGTAATCGCCGCATTCAGCTGTAATAGACATGTCAACTTGATGCTCTGCTCACGGATGAGCATACACAACTGTTAAGATGATGACCTTAGTGTGTAAATATATTTTTTTCTTTGAGGGGGTCTGCCCCCAAAAAACTGTTTTAAGTCCTGAGAAAGTCAAATCAGACGGTGTGTAAAACTACACTGCCCAGCCAAAAAAAAGTAACCACTTTGATTTAACTAGGCCAGTAGGTAAGGACTTTCCACTGGATAATAACTGAAGTATAAAAGAATGCATGACTGAAGTGATGGACACCATGTTGAAGGCAAACACAAAGAGGAAATAACAGGTCAAAGCAAATCTCCCTCTCAGATTCCACAGCAACCAGAAGAACATAAATACTGGCTGGTGATTTGATTCATCAGCTTTGTGATGGAATAAAAAATGCACAGTGCATTTCCTTAGCTGTGGGTGAGTCCACTGACACCACTGACAATGCTCAGTTGCTGGTGTTTGTGAGTTGTTATGATGAGGCAAAGGGGGAGTTTGTTGAAGATGTGTTGGGCCTGACGAACCTCAGTGGACGCACAAGGGGGAATACATTTATAAAGCAATAATGGGAATGCTGAATGAAAGAGGGTGCAGCTGCCTTTATTCATAACTGTGCAGCTCTTACTCTGCGACTCTGAGGGGTCAAGCACAGACACAATAACAATGAAAACGGCTGCATACAGATTATTTTTGTTTTTGCAACCTTGTGTTAAGAATCTTGTTGCAATTGTTTAAAAGTTTAAATGACCGTAATAAACGGACCTTTGTCTTATTGAAACATTTATTTTGGACCTTTAAGATTTGTATTTGAGTACCCCTGGCATAGATGGTGGAAGCTGCAATGAGGGATTTGTAGCCTTTGGTTTAGTTGTAGTTGGTGTTGTCGCCGCAGTAGGTTTTGGCTTTGTAGCTGGATATTTGGGAGGATAAAGAGGATTAAGGGAGGATACATCGGCATATATTGTGGAAACGGCATTTGAGCGTATTGAGTCATCTGAGTATTTGAGGCATCCGAGGGTTTTGAGGTATCGGAGGCAGTGCAGGAATTTTAGGAATTTGAGTCGCCTTTGCAGTTTTAGGGCTTTGTGGTCGTTGCTGTTGTTGTCTCCGGCATCTTAGGGTATTCAGGCATCGGCTAATTATATAGGAATTGTAGTCACCTTTGCAGTTGTAGGCTGTGTGGTCGTTGTCTCGGACATCTTAGGGTTTTGAGGCATCTGAGGGCATTCAGGAATCTGAGGGTATTCAGGAATCTGAGGGTATTCAGGAATCTGAGGGTATTGAGGAATCTGAGGGTATTGAGGAATCTGAGGGTATTGAGGAATCTGAGGGTATTGAGGAATCTGAGGGTATTGAGGAATCTGAGGGTATTGAGGAATCTGAGGGTATTGAGGAATCTGAGGGTATTCAGGAATCTGAGGCAGTGCAGGAATTTTAGGAATTTGAGTCGCCTTTGCAGTTTTAGGCCGTGTGGTCGTTGCTGTTGTTTTCTCGGGCATCTTAGGGTATTGAGGAACCTGAGGGTATTGAGGGTATTGAGGAATCTGAGGGTATTGAGGAACCTGAGGGTATTGAGGGTATTGAGGAATCTGAGGGTATTGAGGAATCTGAGGGTATTGAGGAATCTGAGGGTATTGAGGAATCTGAGTGTATTGAGGAATCTGAGGGTATTGAGGCATCTCAGGGTATTGAGGCATCTCAGGGTATTGAGGCATCTCAGGGTATTGAGGCATCTCAGGGTATTGAGGCATCTCAGGGTATTGAGGCATCTCAGGGTATTGAGGCATCTCAGGGTATTGAGTGCATCTCAGGGTATTGAGGCATCTCAGGGTATTGAGGCATCTCAGGGTATTGAGGCATCTCAGGGTATTGAGGCATCTGAGGGTATTGAGGAATCTGAGGGTATTGAGGAATCTGAGGGTATTGAGGAATCTGAGGGTGTTGAGGCATCTGAGGGTGTTGAGGCATCTGAGGGTATTCAGGAATCTGAGGGTATTGAGGAATCTGAGGGTATTCAGGAATCTGAGGGTGTTGAGGAATCTGAGGGTGTTGAGGAATCTGAGGGTGTTGAGGCATCTCAGGGTATTGAGGCATCTCAGGGTATTGAGGCATCTGAGGGTATTGAGGCATCTGAGGGTATTGAGGAATATGAGGGGTATTGAGGAATTTGAGATGCCTTTGCAGTTATAGGCCGTGTGGTCGTTGCTGTTGTTGTCTCCGGCATCTTAGGGTATTGAGGAATTTGAGATGCCTTTGCAGTTATAGGCCGTGTGGTCGCTGTTGTTGTCTCCAGCATCTTAGGGTATTGAGGAATTTGAGATGCCTTTGCAGTTATAGGCCGTGTGGTCGTTGCTGTTGTTGTCTCCGGCATCTTAGGGTATTGAGGAATTTGAGTCGCCTTTGCAGTTATAGGCCGTGTGGGCGTTGCTGTTGTTTTCTCGGGCATCTTAGGGTTTTGAGGCATCTGAGGGTATTGAGGAATCTGAGGGTATTGAGGAATCTGAGGGTATTGAGGAATCTGACGGTATTGAGGAATTTGAGTCGCCTTTGCAGTTATAGGCCGTGTGGTTGTTGCTGTTGTTTTCTCGGGCATCTGAGGGTATTGAGGCATCCGAGGGTATTGAGGCATCCGAGGGTATTGAGACATCCGAGGTACAGGGGAATGGGGGGAATTCGTTTTGGAAGCAGGAGGTGCAGCAGGAGTTGCGGCAGGAGGTGCGGCAGGTTTGGAACACCAGAGAGAGACTGGAATTCCTTGCCAACGCATCGGGAGTACATAACTTCCACCCTTTGGGAGAAAAACATACAATTAGAAACAGCAAGGAATCACACAGACCTGTCAATTTTACAATCCGACTGTACAAGGCAAAAGATTAATCTCATGCTATATTTTCTAAATATGATGCAACATATTTGAATGTCGGTTCCCATCCAAAAAAACATAGTTAATCACTACATCTGAAAGCAAGCAAAAAACAACTCTCATTTGAAAAGCTGAAAACACATTTTCGCTTGAGACCAATATGATGCAGATTAAACATTTGATTTGGCTCTCGTTACACCATTCATGACTATAACAATTCACAGCACTAGCCATCGTTTTTTAAACTCACTTCCTCACTCTTTAAATCAGTTTCACATTACCTCTTGAACCATGTTGCAGCCATCATAGGGAACCAACATTTCAAGTGCATGCGAGTTCCTCTGCATGCTGTAGCCACAGGTAGACGGGACCTGTGACAGAGGCATTGGAGGTGCATTTCCTGTGGGGTAAAAAAGTTCAGTTTTATATCATTGGTAGAGATAAATCAAGTCTACATTTAGGATATTATGGCTATTGATTTACCTTGTTCTACCGCAAATTGTGATGCTCCTGGTTCCACCGCTCTGAACTTCAACTTGCCCAAACCACACTGCAGTGAGGGCGACATGCTCTTCCATGACGAGTCTTTGGGACTGGCGACTTGTGTTGGGCTCATCCAGCCTGAAGGCCAATATAATATATATATATTTATTTTTTTCAATAGTTTGTATACTTTAAAGAGAAGCAAAACAATTCAAGCAAAATAACAAACCCTTCAATACGTAAATCAAAACATTTTTACCTGCAGAGTCTGCTTGATAATCACCCTCATCCTCCACATAAGCGTTTGGGGATGACTTCTTGGTCCCGCCTGTGACTTGAAAATCAAATCCTGACCCTTTTTCAAAAGCTCTCCCGAAAACAATTGTCCCCTCTTGGAACCCATTTGTTGTATCGGCATCTTTTCTCCTTCTCGTCTTTCTGTTTTCTTCAGACGATAACAGTCTATAGTTTGCGCAAAATAACATGTCAGAATAACAGCTGCAGCCAGGTAAACACCAGTGCCTTTTCTCTTGCGTATCATCCTGTTGCACATGACTGCTGGTAATGTGAGGAGATGAGATAACTTTCTTTGCCGCAACTATTTGAGCATCAGCAGGTGCTGTGACAACCAATACAGCTGTGATAGGTGCTCATAGGATTCCCATTCTGTAAAATCAAACTCACTGCAGGTGGAGAGCACTTGGCAATGAAGCATGAGACAGGGCTTTTAATACTGGCACTTATTACCACCAGGCAGCCAATCAACAAGGCAGGTGCAGCCTCAGCTATGCTTGCACCTGTGTTCAATTAGCTTGCAACAGGTGGGCCTCGTTAAGACTTGTCTAACGTCTACAAAGTAAGCCCTGTATATTGATCTTGTAGATCGGGGGTGCCCAATACGTCGATCGCAAAGGTAGTGTGGGTAGATCGCATGGCATTGAAGCGCAAAGGCGGCGCACCTTTATGCGCTTAAGAGGCGCTATTGGTGTAATTGCTCCAGTTTCTCCGCCGCTGTGAGGTTCCGGCGCTCGCAGTTCACTAGCACGGTTGGTTTCAAAGGCATACCAACTATTACAATCCAATCCAATCCACTTTATTTGTATAGCACATATTAAAAAAAGAGGGTTTACAAAAGTGCTTCACACCAAACATAACATTATAATAATATAACAGTATAATAAAATATAATATTACAATAATAGATGAAAGGCACACATGAGAAAAGATAAAAGGATAAAAAGCACACATAGGAATGATACACGGTACATAAAGGCTATGGACATAATAAAAGCATACAAATCGATAAAACATAGCTCAGACTGACTCAAAAGCGAGGGAAAAGAGGTGGGTCTTTAGGCGAGACTTCAAAGTTTGGAGGGTGGGCGACAATTTGACATGGGGGGGGGCAGGTCGATCCAGAGCCTGGGGGCTACCGCTGAGAAGGCTCGATATACAAACTGTTCAACCTACAGAGATGACAAAAAGTGTTCTTCCAATACAAAAAGCCTCTGTATACGCTGTCTCGCAAACACCTTGGTTGGTTTTAGGGACTACCAGCAGCAGCTGAAGCAAAATAAAGTCACAAGAATGATAGAGACATAACAATACAGTATTTATTTGGGAATGGCTAATATACTTGTTGATGGCCAAACATTTCATAGAAGTAACACAACTCTGCTCACATTTCAGGGTTTTCTTTGACTTTACTTAAGAGGGAAAATATCTTTCAATATAAAATTATTTGTACGATAAGCTTCTTAACAATTACTATCATGTTTACACAACAGTAGACTAAATACAACTCATATGATGTAATTAGGACACTTATAAAATAGAAAAACATATTTTCTATATTGCTCCAATACTTTAAATGTAGATTAGAGAGTTGTGTTGATAAAAAACAAGAACAGCCAAAGAGAATGGAAAGAAAACATGGAAATATACCAAGAATGTGTACACATCCTCAATGGCTAACCTATTGTATTTAAAATATGTTCTCACCTCAAGTATTCTTAATAGAAGACATTCCCCATTGTTATTTTCCCCAACTTGACAGGAAAGGGGAAAAAACGAGAAATTAATTATTTCCCCCAAATCTTTATTCACGAAGCGGTATACAAGTTGTATTCAAAAGTATACAACAACTTTGCACAAGCTTGAGAATGCAAAGCCCATTAAGTCCTTTCAGAGTTCAAATAAAAATATCCCCCGATTCTTGGTTCTTCATAATTTTGTGTAATGTATCATACGGTTTGATTTCGATAAACCAATGAATGCAAGGGAAGAGTCTGACTATTTTGATTTGTTAATCTACATTGACCCACAATTATATGTATAATAATTAGGGCCGGGACTCGATTAAAAAAATTAATCTAATTAATTAGAGGCTTTGTAATTAATTAATCGAAATTAATCGCATTTTAATCACATATAAATATTTGACTTGAGAACAGTGAGAAGCAATTTTTTTCACATGGATTTTAGTATACCATTAGGCGCATTCACACCGCAGTACTTTTCCCACAAAGGTTCATGAGAATTTAGTTCATGAGAACTCTTTGAAACCTGGGGGTGGATTAGGCAAATGAAAGACGCTGACGTCCACTTCTTCTTCTTCTGCTTTGGGTTTACTGGCAGGCCGCAAACCACTTCACGGCGTATACTGCCGCCCAAAGTCCCGGCCGGAAGTCCCCGGAGTTGGGGACTGGCTTCAGTAGAAGCTGCTGGGAGTCCCAGCAGCTTCTACTGAAGCCTTCCGAGTAAATCGCCAGAACGCCGACACCTCCTCATCTCCACCGCTCCCATGTTTTATTTTGTGTTGCCATAAGTTAGTCTCTCTGCGTTTCTGCGCTGGGCTAATGCTAATAATGCTAATGCGAGGATATGGCGACAATGGCGGCTTCACAACACTTTTTGGGAGTTTTACGGGGCGTGGTTTGGCAATCCGCCCAGCCAATCAGACATATAGCTCTCTTCTCACAAGAGAGCCGTACGAAAGTCCCTGCTCTCTAGCAGGGACTTTCGTGGGGTGAAACTAATTTTAGTAACCGGCTCTTTTTGGTGTGAACGCGATAAAAGAGGCTAACGTCCACGCTAGCTGCTATATGTTTTGCATTGAGGTGATACTTGAGGCTTGATGTGCTGCGGTGATATGCGAATTCCTTTTTGCATAATTTGCACACAACCGTGCTCTTATCGACGCTTCCATCCGTCCGTTTTTATAAACAACATTCCCACTGTTGTTACTGTGTTTGTTGTTGTCTGAAGTCATGAACGTTAGTTGGTGCTCCAGTATATCGGTACGCCTGAAACTCATCCAGTGAGAAACGTTCCGCGGTGCAAAAATAAGTGCGATTAAAATGCGTTAATTTTTTTAACGCGTTAATTTTTGTGTAATTAATTCATCTTAATTAACGCGTTAAAGTCCCGGCCCTAATAATAATGCTTTCCCTTATTTAGAAGACAACATCTCTTCACATCAAGGAAAGTCAATCAGACGGTAACGGGATGGTCAGTGTCCCAGCCTGACTTGGACCAGAGATGTCATTTCATGGTTAGATCCATAATTTGAAAGAAACAATACACAGGTGTTAAGGACACCCTGTATGATAAAAGGTTTTGCTTCTATCATTGTTGAAAATTTCACTTGAATGGTTAAGGATCTCACCTGTGAAGTCATTTTTAGTTGTATAAAGGCTACTTTTATAATATAACAATCTACATGTGTAGTTTGAACACTTATGACCTAGTGTTTGACCAAATATTTAGTAATGCTTACGCCAGTTTTACAAAACCAAAAAGAGACAAATGCTGAAGGTTCAATGTTTTGGCAGAACTGCCCAAAGTTGTAAATGCTCCATTTCAGAGTTGGTGTATGTAATGAGTGAAGCCAGCGTCCCTCACACAGCAGATGTTACTTATTTTAGGAAAGGACATGATGGAACTTTACCTTTGACTGAAATACGTTTTCAAAAAAACAACCATTGTTCACACAAGGAAAGCTAGTGTGAACACAAAATGTTCCAATTCAAAACCTAAGAAATGGTTGAGCAATGATGCCATCATGTGGACACAAAGCCACACTATGACAACACTTCAAATGCTAAACATTAATTACATTTATAAATGTAGGAATTTAAAGTGTGCACTTTAAGTTTAAGCACAATTTTCCTGTTTAAATTAAATGTCATTTTCTCAATATGGACTGTTCACTCATTCACAAACCAAATGAGACTTCTTGAAGAGCCTGGAATAAAGAGTCTCTTGGGTACTTGAAGGTTAACAAAAGCACAAACTGGAAAGCGTCTCTGTTCAAAAACTTTTATTACAACTTTTAAGTAAGGTAGCGTGGAGGAGGGAAAAGGGAGGCAGCATTGGTATGGCAAGTGAACATGGGATGAAAAGGAGGACGGGGTGCCGGAGTGGGCGGGTGATCTGGTTTCACAGTGGTAGTTGGAGTGGGTTGTCGGCTGAGTGGGCTGGATATTGGGGATAGGGAGGGATCATAGGGTAAAGATGATAGTAAGGCATAGATGGTGGAAGCTGCAATGAGGGATTTGTATCCTTTGGTTTAGTTGTAGTTGGTGTTGGTCGCCGCAGTAGTTTTGGCTTTGTAGCTGGATATTTGGGAGGATAAAGAGGATTAAGGGAGGATACATCGGCATATATTGTGGAAACGGCATTTGAGCGTATTGAGTCATCTGAGTATTTGAGGCATCCGAGGGTTTTGAGGTATCTGAGGCAGTGCAGGAATTTTAGGAATTTGAGTCGCCTTTGCAGTTTTAGGCTTTGTGGTCGTTGCTGTTGTTGTCTCCGGCATCTTAGGGTATTCAGGCATCGGCTAATTATATAGGAATTGTAGTCACCTTTGCAGTTGTAGGCCGTGTGGTCGTTGTCTCGGACATCTTAGGGTTTTGAGGCATCTGAGGGCATTCAGGAATCTGAGGGTATTCAGGAATCTGAGGGTATTCAGGAATCTGAGGGTATTGAGGAATCTGAGGGTATTGAGGAATCTGAGGGTATTGAGGAATCTGAGGGTATTGAGGAATCTGAGGGTATTGAGGAATCGGAGGGTATTGAAGAATCTGAGGGTATTGAGGCATCTGAGGGTATTCAGGAATCTGAGGCAGTGCAGGAATTTTAGGAATTTGAGTCGCCTTTGCAGTTTTAGGCCGTGTGGTCGTTGCTGTTGTTTTCTCGGGCATCTTAGGGTATTGAGGAACCTGAGGGTATTGAGGGTATTGAGGAACTGAGGGTATTGAGGAACCTGAGGGTATTGAGGGTATTGAGGAATCTGAGGGTATTGAGGAATCTGAGGGTATTGAGGAATCTGAGGGTATTGAGGAATCTGAGGGTATTGAGGAATCTGAGGGTATTGAGGCATCTCAGGGTATTGAGGCATCTCAGGGTATTGAGGCATCTCAGGGTATTGAGGCATCTCAGGGTATTGAGGCATCTCAGGGTATTGAGGCATCTCAGGGTATTGAGGCATCTCAGGGTATTGAGGCATCTCAGGGTATTGAGGCATCTCAGGGTATTGAGGCATCTCAGGGTATTGAGGCATCTGAGGGTATTGAGGCATCTGAGGGTATTGAGGAATCTGAGGGTATTGAGGAATCTGAGGGTATTGAGGAATCTGAGGGTATTGAGGAATCTGAGGGTGTTGAGGCATCTGAGGGTGTTGAGGCATCTGAGGGTATTCAGGAATCTGAGGGTATTCAGGAATCTGAGGGTATTGAGGAATCTGAGGGTATTCAGGAATCTGAGGGTGTTGAGGAATCTGAGGGTGTTGAGGCATCTCAGGGTGTTGAGGCATCTCAGGGTATTGAGGCATCTCAGGGTATTGAGGCATCTGAGGGTATTGAGGCATCTGAGGGTATTGAGGAATATGAGGGTATTGAGGAATTTGAGATGCCTTTGCAGTTATAGGCCGTGTGGTCGTTGCTGTTGTTGTCTCCGGCATCTTAGGGTATTGAGGAATTTGAGATGCCTTTGCAGTTATAGGCCGTGTGGTCGTTGCTGTTGTTGTCTCCGGCATCTTAGGGTATTGAGGAATTTGAGATATCTTTGCAGTTATAGGCCGTGTGGTCGCTGTTGTTGTCTCCAGCATCTTAGGGTATTGAGGAATTTGAGATGCCTTTGCAGTTATAGGCCGTGTGGTCGTTGCTGTTGTTGTCTCCGGCATCTTAGGGTATTGAGGAATTTGAGTCGCCTTTGCAGTTATAGGCCGTGTGGTCGTTGCTGTTGTTTTCTCGGGCATCTTAGGGTTTTGAGGCATCTGAGGGTATTGAGGAATCTGAGGGTATTGAGGAATCTGAGGGTATTGAGGAATCTGAGGGTATTGAGGAATTTGAGTCGCCTTTGCAGTTATAGGCCGTGTGGTTGTTGCTGTTGTTTTCTCGGGCATCTGAGGGTATTGAGGCATCCGAGGGTATTGAGGCATCCGAGGGTATTGAGACATCCGAGGTACAGGGGAATGGGGGGAATTCGTTTTGGAAGCAGGAGGTGCAGCAGGAGTTGCGGCAGGAGGTGCGGCAGGTTTGGAACACCAGAGAGAGACTGGAATTCCTTGCCAACGCATCGGGAGTACATAACTTCCACCCTTTGGGAGAAAAACATACAATTAGAAACAGCAAGGAATCACACAGACCTGTCAATTTTACAATCCGACTGTACAAGGCAAAAGATTAATCTCATGCTATATTTTCTAAATATGATGCAACATATTTGAATGTCGGTTCCCATCCAAAAAACATAGTTAATCACTACATCTGAAAGCAAGCAAAAAACAACTCGCATTTGAAAAGCTGAAAACACATTTTCGCTTGAGACCAATATGATGCAGATTAAACATTTGATTTGGCTCTCGTTACACCATTCATGACTATAACAATTCACAGCACTAGCCATCGTTTTTTTAAACTCACTTCCTCACTCTTTAAATCAGTTTCACATTACCTCTTGAACCATGTTGCAGCCATCATAGGGAACCAACATTTCAAGTGCATGCGAGTTCCTCTGCATGCTGTAGCCACAGGTAGACGGGACCTGGACAGAGGCATTGGAGGTGCATTTCCTGTGGGGTAAAAAAGTTCAGTTTTTATCATTGGTAGAGATAAATCAAGTCTACATTTAGGATATTATGGCTATTGATTTACCTTGTTCTACCGCAAATTGTGATGCTCCTGGTTCCACCGCTCTGAACTTCAACTTGCCCGAACCACACTGCAGTGAGGGCGACATGCTCTTCCATGACGAGTCTTTGGGACTGGCGACTTGTGTTGGGCTCATCCAGACTGAAGGCCAATATAATATATATTTATTTTTTTCAATAGTTTGTATACTTTAAAGAGAAGCAAAACAATTCAAGCAAAATAACAAACCCTTCAATACGTAAATCAAAACATTTTTACCTGCAGAGTCTGCTTGATAATCACCCTCATCCTCCACATAAGCGTTTGGGGATGACTTCTTGGTCCCGCCTGTGACTTGAAAATCAAATCCTGACCCTTTTTCAAAAGCTCTCCCGAAAACAATTGTCCCCTCTTGGAACCCATTTGTTGTATCGGCATCTTTTCTCCCTTCTCGTCTTTCTGTTTTCTTCAGACGATAACAGTCTATAGTTTGCGCAAAATAACACGTCAGAATAACAGCTGCAGCCAGGTAAACACCAGTGCCTTTTCTCTTGCGTATCATCCTGTTGCACATGACTGCTGGTAATGTGAGGAGATGAGATAACTTTCTTTGCCGCAACTATTTGAGCATCAGCAGGTGCTGTGACAACCAATACAGCTGTGATAGGTGCTCATAGGATTCCCATTCTGTAAAATCAAACTCACTGCAGGTGGAGAGCACTTGGCAATGAAGCATGAGACAGGGCTTTTAATACTGGCACTTATTACCACCAGGCAGCCAATCAACAAGGCAGGTGCAGCCTCAGCTAATGCTTGCACCTGTGTTCAATTAGCTTGCAACAGGTGGGCCTCGTTAAGACTTGTCTAACGTCTACAAAGTAAGCCCTGTATATTGATCTTGTAGATCGGGGTGCCCAATAAGTCGATCGCAAAGGTAGTGTGGGTAGATCGCATGGCATTGAAGAGCAAAGGCGGCGCACCTTTATGCGCTTAAGAGGCGCTATTGGTGTAATTGCTCCAGTTCTCCGCCGCTGGAGGTTCCGGCGCTCGCAGTTCACTAGCACGGTTGGTTTCAAAGGCATACCAACTATTACAAATCCAATCCAATCCACTTTATTTGTATAGCACATATTAAAAAAAGAGGGTTTACAAAAGTGCTTCACACCAAACATAACATTATAATAATATAACAGTATAATAAAATATAATATTACAATAATAGATGAAAGGCACACATGAGAAAAGATAAAAGGATAAAAAGCACACATAGGAATGAATACACGGTACATAAAGGCTATGGACATAATAAAAGCATACAAATCGATAAAACATAGCTCAGACTGACTCAAAAGCGAGGGAAAAGAGGTGGGTCTTTAGGCGAGACTTCAAAGTTTGGAGGGTGGGCGACAATTTGACATGGGGGGGGCAGGTCGATCCAGAGCCTGGGGGCTACCGCTGAGAAGGCTCGATATACAAACTGTTCAACCTACAGAGATGACAAAAAGTGTTCTTCCAAATACAAAAGCCTCTGTATACGCTGTCTCGCAAACACCTTGGTTGGTTTTAGGGACTACCAGCAGCAGCTGAAGCAAAATAAAGTCACAAGAATGATAGAGACATAACAATACAGTATTTATTTGGGAATGGCTAATATACTTGTTGATGGCCAAACATTTCATAGAAGTAACACAACTCTGCTCACATTTCAGGGTTTTCTTTGACTTTACTTAAGAGGGAAAATATCTTTCAATATAAAATTATTTGTACGATAAGCTTCTTAACAATTACTATCATGTTTACACAACAGTAGACTAAATACAACTCATATGATGTAATTAGGACACTTATAAAATAGAAAAACATATTTTCTATATTGCTCCAATACTTTAAATGTAGATTAGGAGTTGTGTTGATAAAAAACAAGAACAGCCAAAGAGAATGGAAAGAAAACATGGAAATATACCAAGAATGTGTACACATCCTCAATGGCTAACCTATTGTATTTAAAATATGTTCTCACCTCAAGTATTCTTAATAGAAGACATTCCCCATTGTTATTTTCCCCAACTTGACAGGAAAGGGGAAAAAACGAGAAATTAATTATTTCCCCCAAATCTTTATTCACGAAGCGGTATACAAGTTGTATTCAAAAGTATACAAACAACTTTGCACAAGCTTGAGAATGCAAAGCCCATTAAGTCCTTTCAGAGTTCAAATAAAAATATCCCCCGATTCTTGGTTCTTCATAATTTTGTGTAATGTATCATACGGTTTTGATTTCGATAAACCAATGAATGCAAGGGAAGAGTCTGACTATTTTGATTTGTTAATCTACATTGACCACAATTATATGTATAATATTAGGGCCGGGACTCGATTAAAAAATTAATCTAATTAATTAGAGGCTTTGTAATTAATTTAATCGAAATTAATCGCATTTTTAATCACATATAAATATTTGACTTGAAACAGTGAGAAGCATTTTTTTCACATGGATTTAGTATACCATTAGGCGCATTCACACCGCAGTACTTTTCCCACAAAGGTTCATGAGATTTAGTTCATGAGAACTCTTTGAACCTGGGGGTGGATTAGGCAAATGAAGACGCTGACGTCACTTCTTCTTCTTCTGCTTTGGGTTTACTGGCAGGCCGCAAACCACTTCACGGCGTATACTGCCGCCCAAAGTCCCCGGCCGGAAGTCCCCGGAGTTGGGGACTGGCTTCAGTAGAGCTGCTGGAGTCCCAGCAGCTTCTACTGAAGCCTTCCGAGTAAATCGCCAGAACGCCGACAC